TAAAAGGATCCACACAGGGGAGAAGCCATTTAAATGCATGGAGTGTGGAAAGAGCTTTAGCCATCAAAGTGGCCTCATTAATCATAAAAGGATCCACACAGGGGAGAAGCCATTTAAATGCATGGAGTGTGGAAAGAGCTTTAGCCATCAAAGTGGCCTCATTAATCATAAAAGGATCCACACAGGGGAGAAGCCATTTAAATGCATGGAGTGTGGAAAGTCCTTTGGTCAGAGCCATCATCTTACTTCCCATCAAAGGATCCACACAGAGGAGAAGGCATTCAAATGCATGGAGTGTGGAAAGTCTTTTTGTCAGAGCCATCATCTTACATCCCATCAAAGGATCCACACAGGGGAGAATCCATTCAAATGCATGGAGTGTGGAAAGGGCTTCAGTACAAGTAATACCCTTACTGTTCATAAGAGGATCCACACAGGGGAAAGGCCATTTAAATGTCTGGAATGTGGAAAGGGTTTCAGTACAAGCAGTGCCCTTACTATCCATAAGAGGATCCACACAGGGGAAAGGCCATACAAATGCATGGAGTGCAGAAAGGGCTTCCGTACAAGCAGTGCTCTTACTGTCCATAAGATGATCCACACACGAGGAAAGGAATGGCTTGATGTTGCTGTGAAACAACGGACTTTTCCAGATTCCCGGGATCGCCGTTGAATCCAGGTTGCTGGGCGGTCCATTTGGAGCTAAACCATCCTGTAGAGATGGTGATAGGTAGGGGTATATCCTGCTGATCCCAGAGACACCTGCAAATTGTCTGGTGATCCAGGAAAAAGCCCTTTTACCAGCGACTTTGTGTCAGACATTAGGCTGCTGAAATGGCAGACAGCTCCATAACACAAGGGCAGGAGAGAGGCATGTCGTTTGGTGAGAATTTTAAATTCTTTTTTTTCTTTTTTGTAAAAGTTTTTTAAAAAAACAAATAAAAACATACATAAAAATATCATCAGTTACATATCTATTTAGGATGTCATTTGGTCACAAACGTTTGTGCGTCACCGCTTTCGATTGCATATAAGATCAATAGTTATCAACCCAATATACATTAGTATATTGATTATCATTATAAATCACATATTCATATAATGCTCTGTTATAATTTCCTTTTAAACATGTTTTCCTTTTAAACATGTATTCTAAAGGTTAAATTCATATGTATGCTAACTATCTGTTACATCATTATAAATTTATTAAATAGCATATCTTAATGGTATCATCTATCTTATTCTGATATTTCTTACCTTATATAAGAAAAAAAATCACCAACATTGTATATTGGTGTATCATTATTTTCAATTATATGTAAAATAAAATATCTATCAAATGTATATAAATATACCTTTCATTGTGTCTCATATATTCAACTACAATTATTATTTCTTCATTTTAAACAAGATGTTCTAAATATTCAATTCATATATACCAATACTCCATTACTTTGTTATAACTCTATACAGTCTATATAAGTGTAATATGTCTTTATAATATCTCCTTTCGCATTTTATTATTATAATTCAAAATTATGGTAATTGTATTCATTGATAAAACAAGTCCCAAATCTTTAAAAAATGTTCATCTTCTTCTCTAATTTCAAATGTCAATTTACTCATTTCAGCACATTCCATTGTTTTTCAAATAACTTCCTCCTGCGTTGGTATTTT